CAGCTTCTCTGGGCACCCTGTGCCAGCGCCTCAGCACCCTCACAGGGAAGAGCTTCTGCCTAAGAGCTCATCTCAGTCTCCCCTCTGGCAGGTTAAAGCCATTCCCCTTGGCCTGTCCCTACAGGCCCTTGTCCCAAGCCCCTCTCCAGCTTTCCTGCAGCCCCTTTAGGCACTGGAGCTGCTCTAAGGTCTCCCCTTCAGGAGCCTTCTCTTCAACTGAACCAGCCCAGATCTCTCAAGCTGTTTTCTTTCTGGCTGTACCTTAAAGGCCAGGTCTGTCTGCAATGCTTCACTCAACCTGCAGTGCTGCTGGCCACTGATCTGTTCCGTCTGCTCTGTAAGGTGCCTCTGGATTAGCAGGGCTGTGAAACATACCTGTCCAGTTGGCCTGGTGACCTTTTGACAGCAGGAGAGAACTTACAGCCAGAAGATGGAGATGTTGTGGTTTAAAATTAGAAACAATGGTGACCTGTATCTTTGCCTCTTGAAGTGGAACAGGAAAACTGACCATCCCTGATCCCATCTCTGCCTAAAAGCTACGGTGCCAAGTTTGGCTCCTCTGATTCAGCCAGTAAGAGTGTCTGATGCGCTCAGCTGCTAATCAAACCTAGCCCAAGGTTGAATGAGCAAAGAAATTCCAATTAGAGGATCTGAATATTGATTCACCGGGGAGAAAATATGACATTAAAGGATGACTTGAAGACTAAAGCCAAACTGACGTATTGCTTAAGCTGAAAGGCCATGAATTTGCATCAGAATGTAAGTGCAGGGCTTTGACAACCACAGGCAACAAATTAAAGTGCATCAGTTAAACAGAGTTCATCCCTGTTTTACCTCCCGTGGTCGGAAGTATGGAAAAGACACTTGTTAGAAAAATACGAGCTATTTAAATCCCGAGTGTTAGTGGTAACAGCCAGGAAGGCACAAAAGCGCAGACATCTCTGCTCTGCATCAGATTTCAGGCGTCTCATTTTCAGGAGTGCACAGTCCTGTCAGACCAGCCGAGCAGACAAAGGAGCCTGGGAACGCTCACGCTCCGAGCTGAGCTGCTCTGTGTTTGTTTTGAGGTGGAATGGTTTGGTTTCTCCATGTTCCATGGTGTTCTCTCCTAGTACTCCGGTGGAATTCCCACCTGCAGATTTTGGAAGGGGATTTCAGTAGAAGAGAGGCTGAGGCACAAGCAGCTCCAAGCTCTCGTGGAAAGCCCATGCCCCACAAGATCTCAGCATAGAGGGATACATGTGATGATTCTGATTTTGGCTTTCCTCAGATGGAAAAGCCTCAGTGGTGGAAGCTGGTTTGGGAAAGCAGCCCTAAATCCCATGGGGACTCCCTAGAAGCTCAAAGGATGAACTCCAGGCCTCCTTTCCCTTGTAACAAGCAGCATAACCCATATACACAGCCCTCCTTGCTCTTCCTTGATTCTGCTCTGGGCAGAAGGTTGACTGAAACTCTCAGTGTTAACTTGACAAACGTGTTTCGTTGCTGAATGATGCCATTTCTTCTCTCCCATTCCAAAAGGAATTGTTCCTGGGAAGTTTGAGGGAACAAAGGAAGGAAGGAACCAAAGAGAGTTTTCAAGTTACACCATCTGATTCTTCCTGAGATGTTCTGCTGGTGTCAACCTTTTCTACGTGCACACAGAGCTGGTGCTGTTTCACACCTGCTCCACGCTTGGTTTTAAATGACACATAATTATGACAGGCAGTGGAAAGATGAAGCTTTATCCCCAATTAAATTGCATTTTCTGACTCTTCATTTCCTGTCCTAGTTGAGGAGGAAACCCCTGGAGAGCAAGATCTTTAAGTTTAATGAAGTAGGAGGTGCCTGCAGAATTAAATTAAAGGTGATTTAGAAGAAAATCAGTGCTGATGTGTGGTGTTCCCAGAGTATCGTGATTGTGTGTGGTGCCCTGGGGAGTGTTTTGGGTTGCTGGAGATGCTGATGTTAGAATCTCAGGCCATCAGATGAGAGTGTGTGGAAATGTATCTATCCCTATGGCAGCACTGGGCTGGTCCCTCTACCTTTTCTGGAGTCCCTGATGGATCCCACTGCTGGTGCTAGTGCAATGGCTCATGTTTGGTACGTGGCCCTGGGGGGAAAGACGAGCGGCACCAGTCCCATGGGAACATCCTTGGTGGTCCTTTGGATGAGCAAGGACGCATCTCTTGTTCCGTACAAAATAAGTTAGAAACCCCTACAACAGATTTTCTGGTTCCAGGTCTCCTGCCCTTGGCTGTTAGCAACTGGTGCAGAATTGTGGCTTTGGGGAAATCAGAAGATGTTTTCATCAGGGTCTTCAACTCTGCATGGCGGGGAGGCTGCAAGTGCGGTGCTGGGGTGACATTTGCTGTGCTCTGAGCTCTGCTGGACCATGAGCACCACGTTCCAGCCCCACTGCTTCACCGGGCAGCTTCCTTTGCTTCTTCATCAACATTCAGCCCAGTGTGTCCAGTCCCCTGCCCTGAGGACAAGTCTTGGGTATTTAAGGGTCTATGATCTATCTTAGTCAGTATCTGCACTATTTCATCCTTTATGCCTTCCCCCAACTTCCTCTGAATGCCATCCAGCCCCTGTGATTTATTACCCTTCAGTGTGTTGCGCTTTTTGTTGGAGAATTTATATTTAATTTTTATGCCTGTTATCATTCAGGGAGAGAAGGGAAATGCTTTGGGAGCCCAGAGCGCAAATAAAGCAGCACGTTTTAGTGCAGTTACTTTGTTTGAAAGATGCTCTGTTTTGGCAGGGTACTTTCCTCCTTCCTCCTTCACTTTTTGCATTGTGGGTTGAAGTGATTCTAGAAAAATCACAGCATGGTGCACTCTGGTGATTGACTCCAGCCTTGCAAGGGCTGGAGTCTGCTGCTCCTGCTGCCTCAATCCAGTAGGACTCATACAATAAAGAGGAACTGAGTATGAGGCAGGACAGTTTGGTCTTTCATGTCAAAAGGAAAAAGAGGGATTACAGAGCAGCAGAGGTGGACTTCCCTGTTTTAGCTCCCTTGATCTTCTAATGGTGAGGTTTTTCAATGCCACCTCCTGTACAGCTTCCACTTCAGGCTGTCAGTCAACTTTGTAGATCTCACCTAGGTCTAGTTTAACATCCCAAGGGACACAAAGAGATGCACTAATTTGGCGCTTGGTCTCAATGAGGTGCGCAGTGGAGCCAAGAGTAAGACTCAGATGCTCTTTGATGCACCATGTCCATCTTCCTCCCCCATATTTCCCCTCCCTTTGCACACTTTTGAGTTGTTGTTAACATCAGGAGAAGGCTTTAGGAGCAAGATAAGGGGGCTTATAGCCTCCAGCAGGCATGATTAGAGCAGGCCATGAGCCATTTGCTTTTCCATATCCCTTACTGTCTCTGAGAGCTGATGTTAAGGGGCTCTGCTCAGAGTTGGTTTGATCGTGAGTTTCACTTATTCTGTGCTTGTTTTGCATCTCTCCTGCATGAAGGCCCATTCGCATGGCCTTGCTGCACTCGTCGTTGATTCCAGCACTTCTGATATTCTGTTGAACTTCTGAGAGATGCTGCTAGATCTCTGGAGAAGCTCAATTAACTTGACTGATGGGTCCATTTAAATGGGCGGGAATTGGGGAAATAACACTGGGAAGTTCTGTTATGTTTTTGGATGATGGAAATGTTGGCCATGAGGCAGTGTCCTCTGCTTTTAGCCTTTGTCACTGTGGTGACCTCTTCATGCAGGCTTTGAACCCCTGTGCAGGATGGATCATCAATGTGCAGAGGCTTCTGCTGTGAAAGCCAGTGTGTCACTTCTGCTCAGCTCACTAGATAGCGTGACCTCATTGTTGCTTGAAGCCCAGTGCTTCATTTCACTCTCTTTAGTGCTTTCTCTGTTATAATTAAAAGCTCCATTCCAGTTTGACCTTTTGCAGTGCGGTGGCATAGCTGAGACTGAATTGAGCCTCTAAGTAAGGAGGTGTCTCCTGGCAGGCTGGGTGGCCAGACTATAACCAATCATCACCCTAATGTTTATGATGACTGACAGGAGCCCTGACTGCCCCTCCTGCCCTTCCCATGGGATCAGGCATGTATCAGCACGTATACCAGAGTTGTTCACAGAACAGGATGGGAAAAGTATTGCTCTTTCAGTAAGATCCATGGTTACACAGGAGACATTGCTTGGAAGGCAGGGGTGGGAATCCTCAGTTTTGAGGAGACTGGAGAAAGCAGAGCAGGAATCTCAGTGATTTATTGCCTCTGTTGTAGATCAGTAGCCTGAGAAGTCTGATTTTAAGGAATGGATTTAAATCACTGGATCTTTTTAGTGGCTTAGGCGCTGGAGGGGGGTATGGAGACCTGAATCAAGTTTCCATCAGCTATGGACTGTCTCAGCCCATGGCAGGGAAGGGAAAGCACCTTAAATTGAAGTCCCAGGAGGTATCCTGGCAGCTTGGGGACTTAAAGAAACTGACATAAAGCAGAACATTTCAATAACATCAACAAAATGTTTCAATTTGAGTTTGTTTAACCCAAACCAAAATTCTCACTTTCAAAACAGAAAAAAAAAAACAACAAAACAATGAAAAATGTTCTGTTTACAGTGGCTTGAAGAAAACCATGTTTTCAGGGTTTTCAGTTTGAAGAAACCCCGTTTTCCCTGAACAAATCCCAGCCATCATGACCAGTAATTGTTGCCTGCTCCTATCTGCTGGATGCCTTGTTCTCTGCGAGTATGAACACGATGTTCAGCAGTTCCTGTGGGATTTCTCATGACCAAGCCAACCCGGACCACCTCCTCAGCAGCTATCCCGAGCACTGAGCCCTGTGAACACAAGTGACTGTCTGCTCTGGGTTGAGCTCCTTGCTAAGCAGCTCAGAGTCTTAGCTCCGAAAGCCCTGGGTCTGATCCTTGCAGACAACCAGCCAGCAGCTTGTCTTTCCAGTGCAGCGCACCCTTCCCTGCTGAGGGTTAGAAAGTACTGGATTATCTGCTTACCACCGCTGGTACCAAAACCTCTGTGTCCTGATTCTTGCAGGGTGAAGCTGAGACCACAGAGAGGTGCTGTGCCTGCTCCCAGACCGGTGACGGGAAGGACTGACAAACCCCAAGTGCCCACACCAGTCCCGGTGAGTAACTGTGTCTTGAGGTGCCTTTAGACATGAGGAACGGCAGGAGAGATCCCTGTAATTCCCTGCTGTTCTGTTGTGCGCGGCGCGACTCGGAGGTGAGATTAGGGGCAGCAAGGGCACCTTGCTTGAGATGCTGAGTTGGAGGAGTGGCCTTCATGCTGTATTTGGGCTGAAGGTGTTCTCTCTTAGAGTGTGCTGAAAGTGGCCTCGTCTTGGCCTGATGTAAGCGTTCAAGGAGTCAGAGGTTGATGGATGTGCTGAGAATCTGCCATTCCCTTGTGTGCTATTGGCAACAGAAACAGGATTGCTTTAATTACACCCTGATGAGCAGATTGTGAGTGTTTGGGGCATGGTGGTTTCAGCATGTTTTCATTTCTGATTTATTGCTTGTATTTCTTCTGAAAGTTGTAAGTTTTGGTTTGCTGTGAGTGAACACGACTATGAATGTGAGCTCTGGGTAATGCAGAGGTGGGCTCTGCTCTTGACTTCCCTGATGCACGCACCAGAGCAAGAGATTGCGAGGAGCAATTGGGGAGAAGTGCTGTGCACGGAGACACTGTGCTTGGGGCAGACTCAAACCTTGCAGAGCTGGTGTGGTGGTGAAGGAGGTGCCCTGAGTTTGATCACAACCCTGGTGCTGCCTGTGCATAGGGTAGGCGAGCATTCTCTTGCAGATGGGCTGGAGAAAGCACACAGGTAGCCTGAGCTGAAAGTAGCTCTTGAACGAAAAGGTTTTGTGGAGGGATGGGAGAGGGTTTAGGGATCATGTCCAGTGACAGCATGACCTAAGTGATGGGAAATGCTGGTCCAGGAATCACTGTGGCTATTAGAAACTTGCTGTGCTTCCTGAGCAATGGAGTTGGTGAATACCTGAGCTGGGAGTCTGGTTCTGGGGGAGTTTTGTTTCAGTGAGAATGGACTCAAGATGAATAAAACTTGGAGTTTGCTTCCGCAGAGGGTGAACGAGTCATTGTCCTGTGCACAACTCATGACATGAGGATGGAGCAGTGTGATGTTTTCAACAGTGGACTTCCCCTCCAGAGAGATGAAAAGAAGTCCTCTGTTTCCAGTTGAGCAGGGTTTGCAGTCCTGGTGTAACACATGGGTTTTAATTGGTATCATGGTTGATTTTTTCCTTGGGAACTTACACGGGAGTGAGAAAACCCAAATGTGATCAGATAAAACTTGTTGTCATACAGGCATGAGCTCTGCTGTTGCTTGGTGGACCCCAGCAGATAGCACATACAGTAAATAGGATCCAAGAGTTTTACACTCCTTGCCCTATTTGGAAATCTAATCCAGGAAACTCCGAATAACAGAGGGGAAAAGATTGACCTGAACTTTTTGAAACCTAAACCAGGCAGTTGAAGGACAAAGGGAATTTGTGTCTGCTTATAATTTGTCTAAAATCATTTTCTGCTTCTAGTATAATATACCTTCCCTTAGTAGTGGTGAGAGTATCTTGACATAAAGTAGGACTTAAAGCTTCTGACATTCAGATATGTTAAACAAATGAGCTGACTAAAAGGCGTTTTCCGCATGAATAAGAGAACTCCTGTGCCCTCATTCCGTAGACCAGGATTTAACTCAGCAAATAAAATCATGGGATTCAGCAGCATTGAAGAATTACCTTATTTTATTAATATTCAAAACGTTTAAAAAGGAGGAACACTGGCAGTTGTTTCTAAAAGTTTTGGTTTGGCTGTTGGCATATTTAACAGTGCTTTGCACTATGGAGCCTTCTTTTGTACAGGGTACTTACTGTAAGTGGAGGAAAGTGTGTGCACAGGCTGCAGGGCGTGAACTACAGCAACTTCTTCAGCGCATGAGCTCTTCACTTTCATGAGACTCCTGAACTCTTGAGTGCTGCTGCTTGATTGTTTGCCTTTTTACATTCCACTTCTCCCTCCAGTCATTGACAGTGCACAGAAGAAGGGCTGGTTCAGAGGGGGCTGTGAAACTACCCATTTCTTGGGGGATGCAGGAGAAGCTGTGAAAGTACCTGTCATTGAGGCAGCTGGAAAAGAGCTCTGAGAGTAACTCTGGGGAGCTGGGAAGGCTGATGAAAATGCTCGTTATTGCAGCGATGCGGGGAAGATCGCAGAAATACCTGTGGTTGAGTCCACCCGTACAGGGTTGGAAGTGTCTCGTAGTGAGAGGAGGACATGGAGCATCCTAGGTAGCTCAAGAGAAACTGGATGGATGAAATCGTCTGTCTTAGAAAAGGCACGGTGTTGGAGTGTGCCATTGCAGTGTCTAATCACACGTAAAGCCAGGCTGTAATCGCTTGCTCCGGTCATTTATCAGCTTCAGCAGTTCCTGTCCTTCCAGGATTAGGATGGCACTCAGTAGCCCTTTAAGCTACAATCTGGTAGTGACCTTCTGAGCACCCTGTGGGCCAAGGAAGGAAGCGATGTAACAGGTCTGCTTAATTTAGAAAAGACAGTGCAGGTCAGGAGGAGGGTGCAGGTATCGGGGCCCAGCCGATGCTGTAGGTGCGGGCTCTGGGTGAGGGCTGCAATAGCCGGTGTGGAGGAGGCTGCGGGATATGAGTGGTGCCTCGCAGGGTTCATCATCAGCTCTAAACAAGCCCCTCTGTGCCTGGGATCCCTTTGTCAAGGAAATGAACGTGCCGTAGGAGAACTCTTGTATCTCACTGTAAAGTTGTAATTCATTCCAGAGGCTCCGAGGTGTCACAAACCATCAGAAAACAACCTCAGCCCTTTAGGAGCAGCAGTGTGCAAAGCCATGAGAGCAGGGGGAGCCTCCTGTTGACTGCTGGCTCTCCTGTTTGCAGCGCTTGCTTTACAGCAATAACATTTCTAGAAGTGTGGGCAGGTAGTGTGTGGCTGGTGCAGGCTGGCTTTGCCCTTTGTGGCTTGTTTTCCTTTTTTACAATATAAAGAATTTATTTCTCTGTAGGCACTTAGATGGCAGGATTTCTGCAGTGGGGATTCTGATGTGTGCATGCACAAGTTCTTCATTTCTTTTCTCTTTGGAAGACTATTGAATGCAATATCTCATCAGCAGCATCCCTTCCCAGCACAGGGATTACAGTAGAGGACCAGGTGAAGCTGAAATACCCAGTAGTTCAGAGCAGGGTGCAGCGCACTTTGCTTTCTGAGCCCTGTTACCAGGTCCAGATATTTCTGACTGTGACTTTGTGAAATTAAAGTAATTACAAGAACACAGTAAAATTCAGTTGTCTTTGGTGGCTGACTCTCACTGATCTTTATCTACAGTAAATAAATGCAAAGACCCAGTTTAAAATCCTTTCTAAGTAGACTCTCTAGAAGGATTGCCCACATGTCTCTGCTGGAAGTAATCTAATTGCATGTACAATACTTATAAGCGCCTGGCTGGAGGATGTTCCCAGGGCTGGTTCATCTGGAGCAGGTTTTGTCTGGAGCAGGTTCATGCTCGCCTGTGAGCTCTGCCTAGCAAACACAAGGTGAGAGGAGCACTCTCCTCCCACAGAGACCATGGTCCGTGACCGCTATCTGCAGGGAAGCAGGTGAATTTTGAACTAGGAAACCCATGTTCTCGGCGCTCCGGTTTGTTTTGAAAGCCGAGTGCGTCAGGGGTTGTTTTGATTGAAGATGATTGCAGCTGCAAGCGCCAGGTCTGTGGTCTGCAGGCTCAGACCCTGGTGTCAGCCAGCTCTGAAGTTCTTTCCGATGGAGCCATCCCCTGCCTTTGCCCCCATGTGTGTTCTGCCTGTGCAGAGCTGAGCTTAGCTGGCTTTGAGTGGGAACCCGGCAGCTCCGATGAAGGATCAGGTTTTCCAGTGAGAGCCAAGTGCTGACAGACCGGACCTTAAAGCTCATCTAGTTCCAAGCCCTGTCATGGATTGTGCATCTGCAAGCAGAAGGTTGTGTAGCTCAGGCATTCCTTGTTAGATGAGAAGAGCAGAGCATTTGCTGTTATTTAAGGACAGTAAGGCTGAACAGAAAATCAGACCTGCCTTCACACAGCATACATGATCCAGTGGATTGCCCTGTGCCTGGTTTGGGATTTAAAACCTCGCAAGCCCAAAAGACTCAAACACATGTCTAATCTGAAACCTATACATTCAGTCAAAACTCTTTGGCTCAAAGCAAGCCGTGGATTAATAACACCTTCCTGAGCCAACATTTAATTTCTAGGTCTGATCTGGTTTCCTGTGATCAACCACAACTTTTAATTCTTGTAAGAGCTGAGCAAGCAATTCATACTGAATACTGTATCTGACAAGTAAGTTTTCTGCAAAACTCGATCTTATCAAAATGACATCTCAGTTTAAATTATCTGATTGGGGGATTTTTGTGGGTTTAATTCCTGCATTTGCTTCTGGAAATGACCGGTTTCTCAGAGCTTCTGAAGACTTGAATTTTAATTCAGATTAAGACAGTGCACTAGCTGACAGATGATCATACGAGTCATAAAGCTCAAGCTTTATGTTTGCAGAATGGAACCTTAGAAGTTTCTGCATTGCTCCAGAGGGAAGTTCAGAGCTGCCCCGGGTGTTCATGGTCTATCATACCTGTGTTCCTGTCCGTGTATATGCGTTCATTTCTGGAGTGAGTTTGTGAACTCACGGGGTACTTACAGGCTTGGAGTGCAGTGGGTTGCATTTGTTAACACCTTAAATGCTTCTTAGAGGCACAAGCTGACGGCCATAAGGACTAGGGATGGGTTCTTCTCACCTCTTTCTGAAACTCCAGGTCCTCACCATTTTGGTTTGTTTTCCCCATCACCTACAAGGTGGTTTCTGCGTCTCCTGTCATGAACCAGTTGCTGCCCACTCGAGCAGTAATTGTGTATTGTGGAGAGAATGGCCAGGGGACGGGATTTAATGCTGGATGGAGACGTGTTTAAGTGTCTGCCTCAGGGGTCAAGTTCTCCATCACAGTTTTCCCAGGTTCTCTGGCCAGTTGGCTTAGGGACTATAGTGATAGGATAAGGGGTAACGGATTAAAACTTAAACAGGGGAAGTTTAGATTGGATATAAGGAAGAA